TTCTTCTTCTTCTTCTTCTTCTTCTTCTTTTCCTTCTTCTTCTTCTCCTTCTTCTTCTTCTCCTTCTTCCTCCTCCTCTTTTTCTTTTTCTTTTTCTTCTTCTTCTTCCTTTTCTTCTTCCTCTTCCTCTTCTTCTCCTCCTCCTCCTCCTTATTATTATCATAACCTTTATGTTCTCAGTATTACTTTTATCTCCGTATGTTCTTTTGTGAGCCTTTCACTGACTTCTCCCTTGGGTGGTTGGCGGGTGCTCTGGTGTGGTTTGCTTCTTCTTTCCTATCAAACATCTATCATCTTTTATCTCCCCCTTCTTATTTTTTATGTTTGTTATTCTCTTGTAACACCTCTGATCTTCTGGCGCTCATATGGCCTTATGCAGTTGCGAGCGCCGTAAAAGAAACTTTACTAAAACTAAATACTGACCTCTCTCTCCCCTCCTCTCTCCCTCCAGGTGATGCACGTGCGTGGTCACTTCATCCGTGTGTCGGAGCCCGGCAGCCCCGTGGACGGTCAGTGCGTGTTCATGGCCACCTGCTCGCCCCTGATCACCCCCGAGCTGAAGGAGAACCTGGTGCAGAACAACACCATGGTGTTTAAGACGGTGCACCAGCTGGACATGACTGTCATGGAGGTCACTAAAACGTGAGTTTAAAAAAAAATTAATTTAAAAAAAATAATTTTTTTTGGTGTTTGTTTTGATTTTGTTTTCTTTTTTGTTGCTCTGCTTCTCCTCCTCCTTCTTTTTTTTTTCCTCATGGGTGGTTGGCGGGTGCTCTTGTGTGGTTTGCTTCTTCTTTCCTATCAAGCGTCTATCGTCTTTATCTCCCCTCCTTTTTTTTGTTGTATTTGTTACTCTCTTGTAACACCTCTAATCTTCGGCACTTATATGACCCTAATGTGTTGCAAGTGCCGTAAAACACTTACCAAAACAAACATTCTTCTTCTTCTTGTTCTTCTTTCTATACTAGTTCTTAAATCATTTTCTGATCAAGTTGCCATGGGATTGGCAAGTTAAGAGTTTCAAAGAAAGGACTTTAAACTCAATAACTGTCACTTACGGCTTAGACAATGACTGACTGTCGACACAAACAACAGAAAGGGTATAAGGGGTATAAAGAAGTAGAACAACGTGTGGCACCCTACAACCACCCACGTGCACAAAGAGAAAGTTTTAACTTTCATTTGTTTGATTTTGCTATGGGGACTGATTCTTCAAGCAGGTTTTCCTGTACTATGCAGACTGCTTTTCCAATGCTGATAAGCCATTGTGTTGATATCACTCATTCTATATATCTTATTGGGTTTTTTCTTGTGTTTTTTGTCTAGTGCTGAGTTTCACCTGGGCCGGTCAAGCGAAGAACTGACCAAACAGTCGTGGTACGCCATGCTGCACCCGGAAGACATCCACGAGGCTAAAGAGAAACACGTGCAGTGTGAGTGGCTTGTGTGTGTGGTGGTCAGTGTGTGTGTCCTTTGTGTGTGTGTGTGTGGTGGTCAGTGTGAGTGGCTTGTGTGTGTGTGGTGGTCAGTGTGAGTGGCGTGTGTGTGTGTGGTGGTCAGTGTGAGTGGCTTGTGTGTGTGTGGTGGTCAGTGTGAGTGGCGTGTGTGTGTGTGGTGGTCAGTGTGAGTGGCGTGTGTGTGTGTGGTGG